AGAACTGTATGGAGGCCAAATTAAGACTCCCGGATCACAAAATTATCTCTTCAGGAGAAGAAATTATTAAAAAATATCTTTTGTTTAGAACGCCATGGAATTATTGTAAAACATCTACTATTTTTTCCTTAACAGATTATTTAAAGATCTGTATCTAATAAATTTAGTTGCGGCAAGTATAAATATGCACTAGTTAGTAGTTCCTTGGCAATCTTAACTTTATCTATTGCGGAGGGTCAGTAAATAAACCAAAATATTGCGCAAACTGTCAGAGTAAATATACTACGTGTGTATATCACTTAAATTAGAAAAAGCAGAAGTTTCCAACAAAGCGATAAATGTATAGATTGTTCCATTAAGATAAAACTTTAGCTTATTTCGGGTTGTGAGGAAACCGAAACTCCAATTTAGCGCCGAAACTTACCGAAACCGAAAGTTCGGTCGGACACTATTTTGTATAATAATTACTTATATTTATTTGACATCATAAAACAAATATTCCTTAAAATTATGGCAAAACAAATTGTTTTGCCATTTTAATGCCACGACAAGTTTGATAAAACCATCAAACTAATTAAGTGTTCTCCGTTTTGTCGAAAACAAAATATTGTTCGGAAAAATAAACTAATATATTTTTTTTAACCATTCTTAGGGAATCTTATTTCTTACTTTACTAATTTGACCAAACATTTGATGGTATGTAAGTTAGTTTTGATGTCATAATCAAATGATTTTGATCCAACAGATCTCAAAGAAATTCGATAACCTGGTCTAAAAGATATAGTGTTTTTCTATTTGTGCTACGTTTTGTGTATTTTTCTTTAGAAAGTTTCAACAAGATTGTTAATTTTACTTTACTTAATGATAAAAATCGTGCTATAATTTGTTAAGAATAAAATCCAACTTTTTATAATGTTTAACAGTCTTATTCAATTCCACTGCATTCCTAAATGCCAAGTGTGCTATAGATTAATGGAAAAGAACCAAAGAATCTGTCGATTGTAATAAAGAGAAATAAAATAGTTAAATGATTTAATATAAAATCATCTACAGTCTACAGTATTATTTTTTCCTTTCAAAAAGCACAATAGTCTATTACTTTTACTGTTATTTATCATCTATCAACACATACACCATTTTTTAAACAAAAAGGTTAACTTGATTTAAATACTTATAAATAAATTCATTACTAATAAAGAAAATGTTTACATTATTATTCCAGCTTATTATCTGTATAAAATCTAGAAACCTAGTGACGTTAATTAATGTAAGTTTTAGTTGACACATGACGAAGATAATGATCGTTAGTGCACGTCTTAGAGATAAGGGTGGCTAGGTTAGGTATTAGGAGACTAAGAGAATGACAAATTAACACCAGTGATTTAATTGATTAAAATACTAAATATAGAATAAACAAAGTGAGGTGCTAGTAACATTTTTGTTTCTACAGTTGGTAAGACTGGTATTTTTCATATTGGCTTGCTTATAGATGTCGATTTGATATGAGTGTAACTTTAGTGAGAGAGAGATTATCTCCATTATTATACTGCTTATTTTGAAAATTAAAGCCAGGGAACAAATCTACTGTTTAGACAGCTCTTTTAATGCAACACAACATTCTATATTAACAAACAAGTTACTTTATTATAAAGATAAATAAATCAAAAATTGTTTTCCAAATAAAATCAGATCAAAAGTCAAACAATTTAGTAAAAAGGCCAAATGTTGATTAGGTAAAACACAATTTGCATTAATCTAGTGACAGAGCTGATAATAAAACATCTATTTTTAAGTCTTAATCTCTCCTTTCTAAAATAATAGAAATAATAATAAAAGGCATCCCGATAACTCTTAATTTTTCGCAAGTTACTTGTATATTGATATTTTATGAAATTTTCAGTATTTTCCTCGTGAGTTTTTGATAGATGAACCAGATGAACCACTTCTTTCTTCTATATATATTCTCTGCACATCTTCACTATTTCTTTCTTCACTAATGAGCTTGTGTTTTCTAAAAGCAGTCAACTTGTGATATTTGTTAATATCTTCATTTTCGTAGACACTCAATATAGATTTAAGCATTGAATAGTCCACATAGTCAAAAACATGTAATTTTGTGACTATATAACTTACCACAGATTGCAATTTATTAACGTACTAACACTAACAATAATTTGATAATCAACCTTCTGTAAAAAATATACCATGAAAACTCTTTCCGAATTTGTTTCTATTGTATTTTCTGCCTTCCAAGCTTTAAACGATGAATATTTCTTGTAAATTTCTTTAGATTTTGACGGAAGTAATAAAAAAAAACTGTTACTTATCAACGACAACCGTACGTTAGGATTTGCCACACTCGTATCTTTCTTATAATGGGTTATACACAGCCTTCATAAATGTTTACAAGCCACGAATCACCAAGCTTAGGCAACTCAACCTGCACGATCGGTACTAGTAACGAAAATTTCTTAAATTTTGGCGTCACCAATATTAATGACTCGTTTACAATGAACAATGACAAACCGTTAGGTCTACGCTCGAGATAATGCGATCGCTGGGTGGTTGAATAGAATCTCGTGAAAAATTACACCAATCACGGCCGATGAAACAGAATATTGTCTTTTAACGTAATCTTGGTCTTATTGTTTTAATAATTTTTAATTTAGATATCTAGCAACATTCAATTTTTTTTTTCGATTTCCTGCCACACTTACAGAACGTAAAGATAAACCACCATCATGTACACATAGACGTCTTTGTCTTATCTAGTTTATGATGATTTTTGCCTGAAAATTTTTATATATACAACAAATTTTTTGACCACACAATTTTGTCTAGGAGAAAAATGAAAAAATTCTATCAGATCTTTCGATTACTCTAAATTATATTTAAATGTCTATTTATTGATAATAATTTTTGAATACAAGAGAGTACTTGAAATAAATTAAACCTAGGTATTCAAAAGGATACTATACTTTTATATCTCTAGTATAGCTGGTTGCCGAATTTTATGATGTAAAGTAAAATTGTAAAAATGCACGCCAAAAATAATCAATGAGGAACAAAAAATCTGTGAATAAAGTTTTTATTATACTTCTTTGTGTAACCTGAGGGGTTATTTCTTTAATTATCTACCTTTAATTAATTATCTATTTAATTCTCGAAAGAGTTACTATTTAATTCTCGAAAGGGAGTTTATTATCATTAGATATACTTTAATTGACACGTGGGAACTTAGAAATGTTGTATGTTCAGAAAATTACTTCCAAGCACTTACCCTTTCATTGCTTACGTGGGATGTAATCCAGTGGCTGGTTGTACAGGGTAGCACTGAAGTTGGAGAAACAAAAGGAAACACAAAACTTCCAGGAAGGGTTTTATTAACAAAAAACGAAACAAACAAAATTAAAACACAACGGCTTGACGACATTATTAATTAATTGATTCAATCGCGACAGCGTACCGAGATTTAGGGAATGCGCGCTCTATACGAAATTTGGAAAAAAACTATCAAAATTAATTAATTAGCCCGAGACTTTAAAGTTAATAATTAGTCTGCTCAATGTGAAACCTAAGAATGAACTGCCGTTTTCTTGCAGATCCTTCTCGAATTACACAATTCGCTTTGTCCACGCCCATTTCTTGGGTCCAGAAGTTTCGGTTCTTATCTTATTGGCGAGAACCTGAATATCGGGACGCTTGTATATTTATCTAATTGACTGAATTTACATTTATAACAATAATTATATGACTTACTAGTAACCCTAGCCTTCCCCTATGACTCCGCGTAGCAATTACGGGACGGATTAGTCGATCTCATTTAATCTACTCTTATAGCTAGGAAAAATCCGTCAAAAAAACCCAGCTGCTTAGGTATACTCTCTTTTCGAATACTATCAATTTTACAATATAATTTAATTCTAAGGTGGAATCTCTACGCTCTTTTTGCGCGTTGTTAAAAGATGGGATTCTACGCGGCGCCTCCCAAACGCTTAACACATGGCCTCGACAGTCTAAGTGAACTTGTTAAAATATTGGTAATTTTCTCTGAAGGATTGTCTTGGCGACCTACTACTTGAAAACCATTAACCCTCCGATAATTTATGATGACTGAAATATCTTACTTTCCGAGAACTAATAAATAAATTACTGCGCGTCCCGGCTTTTGTTACATTCACCTTATTTTCATCTGTATTGATAATAATGTAAGATTTTTTTCGGGCTAGCGCACGGAATATGATTCTTTCCGTGTAAGATGTATACCGAAAAAGTCCAAAGTTTTTACACCAGAACAAGTAACCAAATTGTTATGTGAAGCTCCAGATGAACAATAACTACTACCAAAAGCAATTTTAGTGTTTGGGATCTTTGGTGTATGTCGATGAGAAGATTTAATACGTTTAAATTTAGACGATGTGGTAGATAGTGAGTGCTTTCTTGGTGTGTGAAGAATGTACATTTGAAGAACAGCAGATTATTTGTTACGTTACGGCAGGTGTTACGCTCAACACGTTGGATGCCATACCATCAGTTGTATTCCGAAAATTGTTGTAGAATACCTAAAACTAGAAGATCCCAGAAAATGTACCGGGTATGGGCTAAGGCGTTCTTCAACAACCATGTTGGTGGAAAGCGACGTTGATTTACTCCCTCTGAAAAGGCACGGAGGATGGCATTCTTCCAATGTAGCAGAAGGATATATAGAAGAATCCATACAAAGAAAAATTGAGGTATCACGAAAACTGTTTAACTCTTCTCACTCGCAAAGACAATAACTGTATCATTCGTTCGAGAAAATCAAAACATTTGCGAAGATTTTGCTTCAATGAAACTCCTAATGAGATATACTGTTCAGTTTATATATATTTTCTCTGTTTTTAAAAAGACCTTTTCTAATTTTATTACCTTTTCATTCTATGTTCGACATTTCATAATAATTAATTATTAAAATCACATTGCACTGATGACATTGATACGCCCTATAACATCTAACTGCAGATGGGTAAAAACATTTATTTCCTAAAATACTATTTAGTGAGTAATAATTTCCCGTAATCTAAAACATTTGTTTTTAAAACTAGAATCACACATTGCCTTACAAACTAATACATTTCCGGTTAAGTATATAAACAACTGCTGAATCTACGCAGCCTCTACTTCATGGAAGGACCTTAAACCCATCATCGATTGGGGTCCCTGGATCAATCTGTATATCACCGCCCAACTGAGTTTGGCTGGAATAAAGCTAAAACAGAAAATAAAAAAGGTACAGTTAACTATAAGTATTTTAGATTTGAACCGTATATTAAGAAAAAATTAAGAAACATTCACATAAATAATATATACATAATTTTCAATTATTTACTGAAACTCTTGATAAATATAAATCACAACATTTAAGATCCTTTGGTAATTGAAATAAAAAGCGAGTTCGACCTAGTGACTTGTCATTCATGTCATTTATATGAAAAGTCAAGCAACGCTGATTGTGGATAGTACTTGGATGCGTGACCATACGGCGAAGGCTCGCGGTCTGTAGTCCTGTATGTCGGTATATTCACAGAAGCTATAGGTTTGTATAGAAAGTCATATCATCTCTCGGGAATGATGTAAAACTGTTGTTACACTTATATTTATGCTTTGTGACCACGATATTATTGTATTCTTGTAACTTATGTCATTTAACATCGTATTGCTTTTGACTTGAACTTAATAAGTTGTGTTCTGCATTTTTATTGGGGCTGTCTTTACAAATGTAGAAATAACTTAAGTGTATCTGTGTTGTGGATTAGCAAACAACAATTCATCCCAAGGAAGACGCTTGTATGCCGAGTGTTATCCGGAAAAACTCTTGCCGTATGCGGACACATTCACACAACTTCATCATCGTTTACAAGAGACTAGTATGTCTCCAAAAAAACAGAAATATCGCGTACATGTCTTTCAGTAAGAACTCTCAAACTAGAGAAGCAAGCACAAAGTGCTAGTGCAAGGAATATTGCTTGGGGGGGGGGGCGTTCATGTCAACGCTATATGGACCATTTTAAGGTAGGATCAGTTATATCCTTACAATATTCAGCGTGTTCACGTACCTTTGTCATCTGATTTTCCACTTCGATTTAATTGGTGTCACTTTCGACTAGATTACAGTATTTATTACAGCTAGAATTCCATTGGAAATTTAGAAGTTGAATATCATCGAAAACCACTGAATTTCGAATAACAAAGGCCAAGTTTATTTATGTATGCAGACAAAACGATATTATCAACATCAACCATACAGGTTAATTTAGAGTCAAACAGAACCAGTAGATCTTTGAAGTGTGGGTACACATGTCCGCAAGTATTCATTTTAAACATTACGTCAAGAGCGCCAGCCTGACGTCGAACCGGCCTAATAGTTGCGAGGACAAAGAACAGACGCTGTCGCACCAGGGTTCCAGGATAGGTCCACGGCAGATTGGCGCTAAGACCAGATACGTAAACATGCCAGCGACTCCATACCAAGACTCTCCAGCGAACACTCGTCTCGACAACACTTCTTTTTCACTAACTTTGTTTTCAATAAAAAATACTTTAATTTTTAGTGTGTTATTTTGCTGCACACCGAAAGCAACCCTCAGAACTCAACTATCCTAGTTGAAGCAATATTATTGATTTTGTAATCAAAGTGAATATAAATTTTCTTACTGAAAGAAAAAATATTACATTTGTTAATGCAATTCACTAATTTTATTAAGATCATCACCATACAGCAACATCAAGATCAACAGTGATATAATTTATAAATAAAATAAACAGTGGCTCAAGTATTGACCTTTGACGCACACCAGATGAAGCCAGAAACAGATCCGACTTAAAACCGTGATATTCAGTATATTGCTTTTTGTTGGATAAGTAGGAAATTAATAGTAAAGTTAGAATATCTGAAAAGTCAAATGGTTTCCGGTTTGGAAGGAAAATACCACGGTGCAGACTATCAAAAACCTTGAAAAAATCAGTGTATATCATTTCAACCTAATTATTATTATCAATCACTTTAGAAATAAACTGTGTAAGTAAATTTGTAACTGTTGGCCGTTCTTTGACATATTTAACCTTGTACACCTGTCCTAAATGTTGTAGGGCAAAGTATAACTATTAAATTACTACATAATTAATTACTTTATAAATAAATATGCGGTGCAAGATATCTAAACCGCAAAAGTTTTAAAGAAATTGACTTATATTTAAATGTATGCAATTCTATCTCTTTATTTATGACTGACTTTATTAACCTTGAAATGAATATCCACCAAGTTTTTTCAACTGAGTAAAAGATAAACATGAGGAGTACATCGGCTATGGTTGTCCTAACTAACTGTAACACATTTAATATTATTTTTTAACTAACCTTTTAAGTGGAAGGATATATCTCATCGCGGAGGGCATCGTGACGAAAACCTCCTCTCGTTTTATGGCTGTGATAATGCGCTTGGCGACGTCTCTGGGTTCCAGCATGTCCAAGTTCCTGGGTTTGCACCCGTCGAACATGCCCGTGTTGATGAAGTACGGGCATATCAGGGTCATATTGATCTTGTCGTGACCATGAGTCTGAAAATAAAAGAGTATTATTTATAAATAGGTAGGTACGTCGTAGTTTACTTTGTAGTAGGGTACTGGTAAAATTTTTTGTTTGTTTATTATAATTATTTTATTTCAGTAGTGACTACAAATTATAGGAGTAGGTTTATTTTCTCCTTATACATCAATTAATGATTAAAATTAAACAATTTTTTTTGCGTTATTTTTCTCAGAATTTCAAGTTCAATACTCATCAAGTCGGAAAAAAAATTCAAAATTAAAAAAAAGCAAATAGGCACTAGAGATTGAAATTTGATTTTAGTCCATAAAAACAAACCTATCTGACTTAAAAACTGGAATGATATTTAAAAAAAAATACAAAAACTGTACGTTCAACGATTATGCTTAGATGAGAAACTTTCATGTACCTATTCAAATGAATGGTTAATATTGACACTGCTTTGAATATTGAAAATCAATAAATTTTACAGAAAATGTGATCACGAAAATAACTTGCTGTCATTTTTTTATTTCACACATCTAATAGTCACCGCCCATTTCGCCCTTCCACAAATAAGATCCACTTCTTATTTGTGGAAGGGCGAAATGGGCGGTGACTATTAGACGTCTTCATTATAGCCATCTTTCTCTATCGCACGGATTTCTATGACTTACTTTATCGTTCTCACATAACGGCCGATGAACCATGGGGACTTTCCGACCCTGTATAACACAGAAACTCTTCCAAATAAATTCTAGTTGTATTTTCTAATTGCTTATCGTTAAGTAAGCATGGCTATAAATTTGGGTCACGACAGTATGAGCAATATTAAAAAAAAAAATAAATAAATAGTAATCTATTTTTACGAATACGTTACTATAGGATGTCCTATATTTTATAGGCCAGAAAAATAAGCTGAGAAATTACCATTTCGCGACTTTTTGTTTCGGAAAGCTGAATTTATCACTATAGATGCTAAATATTATGTATGTACAATAACATATTAGTTTCCACAGTCATAAAAATGGGGGGGGAAGATTGTTTACAGGGTGATTAATTGTATAATTTTTACGTAAATTCACGTTTTTGACTTATAACTTTTTTCCGTTCATTTTCACCAGAAAACAGTAAGGTACTTTTTTGCCTCTTCAGAAGACCTACAAAACTAGCCCTTGAGCGTCAAAAAATATTGATTAGATCAAAAGTTATATACAGCTGAAGTTTATTTATGACTTTTGATTTCAACATTTATAAACTGCGTTATTATTACCCGAACGTTTTGACATCGCATCCTCTCGTTCCTTATTACTGTCCAATAACTCACACGACATCTGGATTTTTTTCAAGGTAGATTTCATAATAATACGTTGAAATCGATCATTTTTTTTTAATTTCAAATTTGCAACCTGCAAATTTTTTTTATTTTTTAACCTTAGTTACAAAATTAAATATACGACGCACGAGCGTGATATAGTTATACATATTCAGAAAGCTTATGAAAAGAGTTTTAAATTAAAAAAAAAATGGTCAAGATTCGTTGAAAAACAACGGAGTTACAGACTGTCACAATTGACGGCCAATTGTTATACAAATTAGGTTGGTAGCGGCAAATAAAAAATACTGGCATAACCGGCAACCCGAGTACTTTCCCATGTAAAAATATTTTATTTGTGGAAGTATGTTAAGTGCATAAGAAATATTGTCAAAACTCAGTGGGTCGCTTGATTTTCGGCGAGCTGTGGCGTGGCGGAAGGGTGGGGGAAGCGAACGACAGCGAGTCCGAAGAAAATGACGATAATATTCATAGTCCTGCCGTTAAATAAGGGAAATTCGCTTGAAAATAATAAATTTGACAGTATGTAACTCCCTTGTTTTTCAACGAATCTTAAAGCTCTTTTCATAAGCTTTCCGAATATGTAATAATATATAACTTTACCACGCTCGTGCGTTGTATATTTCATTTTGCAACTAAGGTTAAAAATAAAACAAATATCCAGATTGAAAATTTGAAATTAAAAATATATATACATATATATAGATTTCAACGTATTATTATGAAATCTACCATGAAAAAAATCAGTTCGATTGTGAAAGATCTTCGAGATCGTCCAGACTAATAATTAGTTAATTTGTTTATAAGGCCATAACTTGTAAACTATTCAACTTACCGATTCCAGATTTCGTGTGAGTTATTAGACAGTGATAAGGAATGAGAGGATACGATGCCAAATCGTTCTGGTAATAATAATACAGTTTATAAATGTTTAATTATTCAAGTCATAAATAAACTTCTTCTGTGTTATAACTTTTGATTTAATCAATATTTTTTGACGTTCGAGGGCTAGTTTTGTAGGTTTTTTGAAGACGCAAAAAAGTACCATACTGTTTTCTCATGGAAATGAATGGAAAAAAGTTATAAGTGAAAAACGTGAATTTACTAAAAATTATACAATTAACCACCCTCTAAAACAATCTTCCCCCATTTTTATGACTGTGGAAACTAATATGTTATTGTACATAATATTTATCATCTATAGTGATAAATTCAGCTTAACGAAACAAAAAGTCGCGTCCAACTCTATATTTCCCGGACTATTAGTTTGTAGAGTAAATCCTAGAATTTGCTTACCTTCAGCTCTGTCAGTAAACTCTCATGAAATCCCACCGTAGCGAACTTGGATGCACTGTAGTCCGTACATTTGTAGGTGCCCAAAAGTCCAGTAAGACTCCCTACAGTGACGATGTGACCAGTTCCTTTCTTCAGCATGTATGGGAGGAACGCCTTTGTTGTCTGGAAATTTCCTTATCAATTGCTGATATTAATAATAAAAAAATGATTACTGACGTTCTCGGAAAATTATTTTTCCTTGATACTTTAGACATACAAAAATTAGATACTTATTGGTAATAATGAATTTATATGAGTGTTTAAAAAATATATTGTTGGACAGTTAAAGCTTCAAACGATATAGGGACTATTTTTTTCTTCTACAGAATCACTCACATTTACATTCACAACGTTGAACTATTTGTTTTTTAAATCAGAAATAAACATTTTTTGTGGCAGTGAAAATTATCAGACTTGTCAGTAATAATTCATGTAATTAGAATTAAATACTTACCCAATAGTGAGCTAAAATATTGACTTTATATGTCTTTTCTATCATATAGTCGGGAATCTCTAGCAATATCTGGCCACACACAATCCCAGCATTATTGATGAGGATATCAACGGGACCCAAGTCTGCTTTTAAAATGTCAGCATATTTGTAAACGATTTCCCTCTGGGTAATATCCACGGTGTACGCGAATATTTTGTGACCTTCCTCCTCTATCTTCAATTTCACCTTTTCCAAAGCTAAATTGAAATATTTGTTTATTAAAAACACATTTTGGATTTTTTGCTTTCACGACTACATAGGCACAATTTTTTTACCAGGAAATCCTGCAAAATATAACTACCTACAGTTATACCGAGGAACATAAGGCTCTGTAGTATTAATTGGTGTTATCAGTAATTACTACATGATATAAGAACACCCTGTATGGAAGTATTTATTGCAAGTTTTCTAATGGTTCTTCATTAGCATAGAGAGTTGAGTTAAATGAGGTTATAATTGCAGTTTTATTCTAAAAATTATGAAATTATTACTTTATTGGATTTACCATAATCTCAATTGATTGCCACAACACATGTAAAAAGTTTGGAAAGTTTTAATCGATCAAAAAAATTAATGACAATGAAAGTAGGTTGTAAATTAAAACATAGATGTGTTACTAAAAAAATTGTGTTAAATAAATATTTGTAATGAATATTTTACATGTTAGAGGTAATTATTCCAAAAGTTCTATTTTTAAGTTGAAGGGGCAAATGTCATGTTCATATAATTTGAAAATATAATTACTTGGTTAGGTTAAAACGTAGATTTGAAAGAATGTTTTCCCAGAAATATATATTTTAATCTTCTATTATTTTGAGAATATATTTTCAATTTCTTTACTTAACTTAATAAGTTAAGTTTGTTCAAAATAAAAAATGAAATTATCTTTAAATTACGATATATTTTTAAAAAATGCATCAAGATATTTCGTTACATGAGTACCTATGTATTTGTAACGTCTCTGTCGTTAAATAGACTTGCTTTCCACCGGGTGTTCTGGTTTATAGATGAACAAACTATTAACATAATAAATGAATCTTAAATTATGCTGTTTTTTACGTGATTAGCTTTGTAAAGGATGATAATAGAATAGCAAAAATACAGGATTTTTTTGGAATGATTGATTTATTTAACTGTTTCAATATTCTTTTTAATTTGTTTAAATTACTTAATACCTTTAAAATAGAATAAAAAATGCGAGAACTGATCTAATGTGATATTCTTAGCTAGATAAAAACAATATCTTTCTAGTCTAAGATTTGTAATATTGAGGATATAAGAATGTTACATCCTTTTTATGATATACTTTAAAATAATTGAACTTCATTTGTTTATTAATTATGTTAATGGCTTATAAATCGGAACACCATGGGCATAGTTAATAGACCAATTTTTATTGAGACCAAATTCTGATTTAGCAAAATTATTTTTTGTTTTCCAATCATATAATCAAGTTATAAACAAAATTCTTAAATCTTATAAATAACCTTATATATTTGAACCTTATTTTGGTTGTTGTTGGTGACAACACTGCATTTAGTTATCTTAATGATATTTTTAATTGACATTTGTATGGATAACTTCTCTAACCTAAATATCAACAAATAAAATTCATAATAAATTACTTCATTTCTACATTGCTTATCTTATAACTTTTTACTTGAACAATATTTTTTAGTTCTGTATAGAATCATTTCATTGGAATTTATACAGGGTAATTCAGAACTTATCCAAGAATTTTGTCCACCGACGTGACAACACATTTGAGCCCGTCTTAGTCAGTTTCTGTGAACTAACACAAATATTGTCTTGTTTCATTATAACACAAATGTTTTACCATAACACAAATGTTATCTTCCTTCACTATAAATTAAAATTATACGCCATTTGTGACGGTTAAAAAACTAATGTAAACACTATCGCAAAAACGTAAATAATAACATCGGGTTATTATTTAGGCGCTAGAGACTAGAGACTATAGTAGCCCAACAATGTAAAGGTTGGAAATACTACAATTTCAATGATTTTTTTCTCGGAAACTATAAGGATTTTACAAAAATTTTTTTACGATATTGACTCCATTTTGCCTGACGCATCTATTCCCAATTTTTTTGGATAATAGTGAATCACCCTGTATTATAAATGTTGTTTTGTTGACTAACCATAGTTTGGAAATTTTGCAATATTGATACCTATTTAACGATAATTTTCTAACTTTAAATACCGCAGTATCTTGACGTTTTTAAATTTAAAATTTATATACTTCACGCAGTAATAATAAAACTATTCGTTTTGAAGACTTACCCTTCTCGTTGACATCCCAAATAACGACCTTGGCGCCCTCTCTCGCCAGTCTCAAAGCTAACTCCTGCCCAACTCCTCCTGCGCCCCCCGTTACAAGCACAACCTTCCCCTCCAGACTCTTTTCATTTCTCAGGAATGAAGGCATGAGCGATTCAACCAGCGCCTCCGCCACATAATAAATAGATAAAGCACTTACGATGGCCAAATCTAGCGCCTTTGTTATTATTGCGACTGCTACTAGACGCATCCATGACAAAGTGGGTAAAGCAGCCCTAAGAAACGCAAAAGGGCTTTATTATATTTCGTGTAATAAAGATAAGGAGTAGGTAACTGACGTGAAGCAGAAATGAATAATATTCTGAGAAGTTATTAATTTCGTTAAATTGTTGTTAAGTAGTTTTTGAGCTTCAGAGAATGTTTCGTTGCGTATTCTGTAATTACAACTTTTCCTTTTCAACAAATGTAGAAATTATATAACTACATAGTTGAGAAACCGCTTGCAATATTTTGAAACAATTTAGAGAATATTTCTAGGCTTAACAACCGAAGAACACGCAATGTTGCATTAGTGCGTTTTATAGTATGTAATTACCTTTTCATATCTACATACATATAAGATGAGAGCTATTTCCTTTATTTTTTTATTGCCCAAAATATCGTAATTGAAATAAAACGCATTCGCATAAGTACGATTTCATTTTAAAATTAAAAGGACCAACATTTTTTAATTCTTGTATGAGGATACGATCAGGAGGAGCACAAAGGACTTTTCGTTGCTGCTTTTGATGACTACAAGAAGACCAGGAGTTGTTAAACCAAAATACGTTGATTACGAAAACTTAATTCCTAGGTAGAGTATACATACGTTAAAAAAATTGGAGAAAAAATTGGAGACAGTTCTTGGTGAATTCAAGAATACTACGCATTGAAACCTTCACCATATATCTCGCCGATTCCAGATTTTAGATTCACTGGTTTAGTTTTTCTACATCCAATATTACTCGATGTTTCTGATCTACTGAAATACTGAAAAACTGTTTTCAATCCAAACGAATATCAGATTGGTTTGTAATTCTATACAAAATTTGCAGTTTAGGTTTCAAGTTCTTGTCATCAGTTTCATGATTTATCATCTCTCTGTAGTCACCAAAAATGATAACCAAAAGTCCCCAATGGACCCTGTGCTTCCCTGAGTGTTATTATACTACCTATGGTCTTGGATTTTAGGTTCAGGGTTTCTAGATTCAATATTATTTATTAAGAGGGTTCTAAAGCAACAGGCAACCAGATAGATAGAATTTTTATAGAGTTTACTACACAGTTTGTTTAAATATGAATTAATGCATAAATAATACACCTTCCTCCATTGTAACGCAGATTTTCTATAAAATGAAGTTATTTTGAAACTCAAATTACTTTTTGTTGTAAAGAAATTTGTAATTTGCCGCTTTTGAAGAAGCGCCTACGTAGATTACAAATTTCTTTACACCAAAAAGTAAATTGAGTTTCGAACTAAGTCCACTTTAGAAAATCTGCGTTAAAATGGGGGAAAGTCTGTTAAAATCTAAAAAAAATGTATTGTTGGTTGCCTGTTTGCTATAGAGCCCTTTTAATTGTGGCATATCGGTGTTTTTTACTATTTATAGATGAATAAGGACCTTATCTTGCTGAAGATACTAATATGTCGAAAATAAAAGTGACATTTCTCTCAACATTCGTCAATATGGCGACATACATAACCGCCATATTGGATTTCCAAAATATGACACTACGCATTAGAAAGTGTATGCCATAACATCTTTGTACGTTTCTTCGATCTTTGGACAGAAGTGTGGATATACAAGGTGTTTCAGAAACACCTCCCGTACATAAAGGGGTTGATGGTACGACAAAAATAAGAATTTTTTGTCTTATGAACTATATATCTATCTCCTCTTGTTTTCGAGATACAGAGCGACAAAATATAAATTTTTAAATAGAATTTTTATGAAAATTTGCGAAAACGGTGCGAAATATTTTTATGAAATTTGGTATTCCGGGGTTTTTAAGGATGCCAAATACGCTGGTCTAATTATTTTCTATGTATTTCATAGAGGGCGCTAGTTATGCTACATTCCTAATACATTTTAAGTTCTATTTTTTTTAATGTTAGATTTTTTACCATTCGGGCTCCAATTCCTAATGTACAATTTTATTTTCTAAAAATAATGTACACTTGTTAAAACTTCCTAATGTGGACGATTTTCGAGAAAAAAGGCTTTTAATAGAACTCTTACAATATTACGGTGTATAAAATAAGTGACTTTTCTCAAAGTAGGCTTATATCAAAACTTCTTCATGATTCATAAACAACGCACACATTCTTAGTAATATTTTAAACTCTAATTAACTTTATATCAACATTTTAGTGACTGTAATTAGTTATTAACTAGTCACTAACAATCATATATAGTTCATAAGACAAAAAATTCTTATTTTTTGTCGTACTATTACCCTTGCATTTACAGGAGGTCTTTCTGAAACACCCTGTATTTACTTTTTTAATATTGTATTAATATTTCCTCACTATTTATATTTTTTACTAAATCATCCTGTATATTTCCACATAGATTTTTACAGTTATATGCACTTATATATATAGCACAAGTTCCGGAAATGCTAACTTACTAAGTAAATATTGAAGATTACTTTGCTGAAGATTATCATGTTTGATGTTTAGACGATTGAGAAATATTTACAGAGAAATACCTGCTCTTCAAAACCAAATGCGTCCAAAAACAAGTTTTCATTAATTTAAACGTAGAATGAGTTAATGTCAAACGTTATGGTTATAGTTGTTCTATATGGGACGTGTTTTTTTTTACAAATTTTTAACAAATCAAATTTTTTATTGTCCAACGCAGATATCCTTCTCATTTTAAGATATACAAAAATGGTTAAATGAACAAAAATGAGCAGAACTTTATGTCGATCACAAATTCGTTTTTAACTTAAGAAAATTCCGAATAGTTCCGAAAATATTTTATGCTATTTACTTTTTTAGTCTTATTTCACTTGTTCTTCGAAATTTTAGGACAAAAATGTGTAGTCTGATATAAATTGATGTGAGGAATCGATTTATGTTTGTCAGGATGGACGTATCTCCAAAAATGTGTGCTGAACGGTAGTTTTTGTTATGGACGCCATATACAGAATATTACAATATTAGAAGAAATGGGTTGAGATAGATTTTAAATAAAACATTTTTCTTTGCAACATTGTTTTTAACTAGAGCCCATATCATTTCAATCGGATTAACGGTGAACGTCACCCCGAAAATGTCTTTCTACCTCGGGTGGCGAATGCGGTTAATTCCAAGAAAGTGACGCAGGAGTCTTCTTGGAGTTCTATCTCAACAAATATCGTACGAACTGTAGATTAGTTTAGACAAAAAATTAGGTGTATTTTTACAACAGATATATTTTAGATGATTTAAAATAATAAAATTTAGTAGTTTAATGCGTGTCTCTTGGAATGTGCTTATAACTGAAACATAGTACTTTTTTTAGTTTTCTCTTGTGACTTGATGAATTAATAACGATTATAGCGTTGCAGTTTTTAATACTTTTTTTTAATACTGTTTTTTGAATCATAAAACTTAGGTCGAAACTGATACTGCCCCCACTTTTTGCAGTGAAATATTCTTTTAGTTTTTGCACCCTTATATTTGGATCATTTTTTCATTGAATTAATTAAAGTTCATCAAAGTGAAAAAAACGATACGCTAAGGTACGCTCTGGTGTACCTTACACCCATGACGTTATAATTAGACAGGTTTTTTTTCGTTTCACATATTTTATATTTAACTATGATTACTTGTATATTTCAAATGCAACATTTCTATAGATAAGAAGAAACATTAACATTTCCGCCTTAATGTGTTCAAAGGCTAATCTATTTAGTTGTCTACTGCCATTGTAAACTAAATTTAAGCAAAAAGTACGTCATTTTCAAGATACAAAAAGTTGCAATTATAAAAAAATATGTTTATGAAATATCTCTCAGGACTTGGCACTGATACGAGGTGTCACTGTCACTGGGAGTCTTGGAAATTCGACACTAATGAATATTTTGCAAATTAGACTAGTGTTTTTTTATTATCAATAGAATTTGTAAGAAAAAAGATCTCTCACATTTTCTTCGAAGAACGGGCCCTTCTAGAGTTCCGATTTTTTTATAATACATTTAAGTAAATCGAAAATGACTGTGAAACAATTTATGGGATTTTTTTGTGTAAATACAATTAATTTTAAATACAATGTAATATGTCATAGGCATAGATATTTTAAATTATCTAAGGGTACAGCTCCTAAAAAGACATCAAAATTTCTACATTTTCTTAACATCCATCGGCAATACAAAATACTGAGTCATTTTCTACTTAGATAAATCAGTTGTCCAAGTTTTATCAGTTTACGGCAAATATTCTGAGAAATATTTCAGAGAATGTGATATTTTTCGAATTTCAAATCCTTGTATCTCGAAAAAGAACTCGAACCTATATCGATATCAAACTTTTGCTTAAAATAATTTACTATATCATCCAGATTTAAAATGCGGTCATTCAAATCTGGATCATATCCTGTGTATGTTTTCTACTTTATCCAAAGGCGAGTTATTTTCAAGCTCTTATTTTTTTAGCCTAAATAACATTGCCACTACAAAAAAGTGTAAGCTTTCGAATGGCGCGCGGCAAAATTACTGGACTGAATTGCAATCCATGGAAAATCAAAGAAAAATGATGAAAACGTAATTTTTCAAGTGCAGCTTTTCCTCTTCCAATCGACACAATAGTATTTTATTCATCTGCGTATTGTCATATGAGTGTAATCTAAGGCGTTAACTTTTACTGCTGCTAGCGCGTTTATTACATGAACTATCAATGTAAAATGTTTTGTAAATAAAAATTTAACCCTTTCTTTATTTGTCTCTAAAATCCGATACGTTCGTAATTAATACTTAATACATTTATAAAAAAAAGTTATCTTTGGAATAAAGAGGCGTAGGTCTGGTGATTTCTCTTTTTTTATATTACCGTAAAAATAAGCTATATTTAATGCAAAAAGAGCTACTTTCCGAGCGGCTTTTGCTGACCTTGGGACAATTTGTTTATAACGCTGTTTTGTATGTTCTTATGTTTATAGATGTAAAGGGCAACTTAATTTCAACATTTTCAAATTTTTATTTTTCGATACATTTCTCTGGGTCTATTAGAACCTATATCTACGATATTAACTTCTAAAATTAACGTTTAGTAATTAAACAATTAGTTGCAAAAAAAAGGAATGAAATTAATTAACAAATACCAGGAGCAACAATTTCACGGTCAATCGAATCAGCGTTTGGCACACATGTTGGTCTTTGGATTGACCGTCTTTTCCATAAATTTTATCAACATCCATCGCTTTTTGTAATAATAATGCGCAATTTTCGAAAACTGATATTTTCGCGTTCGACCTTTATTTTACAGTTAGTTGTTGTGTTTTGTGATCTAATTCGACTGGAGGATTATACTTTTCTGTAGATTTTAACGTTTTTATGAAAATATTTAAATCAAATAGAAAGTGGGCAGCATATTTTAATATAAATTTCTGTTAATATTAAAAACATTCAAATTAGACATCAATATTGTTAAATTTAAAAATAAAGGACCTGTGAATTGAAAAGACACTGACATATTTTTGTCAAAAATGGAGATATTTTTTAGAAAGCTTTTAAACATCCACCAAAATTTACCCGAGCGCAAAAGATACTCACTTGTAGACATTCTTCAGGTAACGAAGCATAATCCTGAAGAACCGCAACTAGTCTAACAATAAAACCAATTAATCAAATCAAACCGCACTAGCTCACAGCGTAACAGCGTCGCACGCTAGCTGAATTTCAACTACGGTGCTTCAGATCTCCATGTATGTCCGTACAGGAGCACGCGAAACGTAGTCGTTTCCTTATCTCGCCAGTAGGTCATACAAAGAGAAATGCTCGATGGATCCCCCTTCCCGGTAAAAGGTTTGTAATCATTGCCTTTCTCCGAGCATCTGCAAAAAGAACGGTGAAATCTTGATACCGTCTCTATCTCAAGCTCGTAATGGCATGCTAATATCGAGGGTAAACATGGGAGGGGGAAATTTGATGTTCCATAAAGTTGAATATTTTTCCTAGTTAATCTGCATTATTTGGTGGAATTACAAAAAAATCAAGTTATAACAGTGAAATGAAAGAAAAATGGACAAACAAAATATTGGTTTCACACAAGAATATAAACTCTAATCTGACACTAAAATTAAGTAACTCTCACTGTTGAATTAAGTAAAATTGATTGATTTAAGAACATTTTTGAAAAAATGTATTTTTTTTTTATCCCACATCTATATAATAATCTCACATTATTCTACACTGTTCAAATTGCCTCCCTATCAATTTCTATAAATTTCAATTAATTTTTAAATCTCAAAACGTAACAATTCCTGGTATTTTATCATTCATTTAAATTATGCTATAATATTATGTTTTATCTGGGCAAAAGGGCGTTCTAGGCTTTTGTTTGAAAAATGTATTATTTTTCTTGCTAAATATGCACCATTTCTACTTCAAAATAAAATTTGGGATTCCTTAGGAGCATGTGGATTCAGATGCATGGTGGTCCGGCTCATAATTATTACGTTAATGACTTGTACACGTATATATTGCAAACCCTGTAAACTGAACTTTGCAACAATATGTTTACTAAAAAGTAATCCTAAGTACAAGTAACGAGCGTTCAAATAAAAACGTGGTCCAAGTTGGCTCTGACACATTGGACGTAGGGAGTAGCTTATAGCAACCAACTTAACCTCATTTCTCAACGAGCTGTATAGCAGCTGTCAGTTTCAATAACGTTAATGACTATATAACTTTATTTTAAAGAATAATCGTGGTAACAATAACAAACAATTAAATGAGCTGGGGAAAGTGTCCCCCTCCTTGTTATAACAATAAATTAAAGCAGCTGCTGAAAGTGTCCCCCTCCTTGTTCCAAGCACTTTTCACACCTGTTCCTCAAAGAATTAAAGACATTTTCTAAGATGCTCGGGGTATTGTTAATTTCACGAATCTTGTCTATAAGTCGAGCCTGCAGATGGTTTAAATCAGGGATAGGCAGTTCAAAAATAGTGTTTTTAAGGTAAGGCCACAAAAAGAAATCACACGGCGTAATATCACATGACCTCGGTGGAAATTCATGTTCAGCATTGAAACTTATTAGTCGATTTTGTAAAACTTCCCTCAACATATTCATCGTCTTGCCTGCCGTATGTGCCCTTGCGCCATCTTGTTGAAAATAAAAGTTTGTAATTTCGTTTTCTTCCAGCTGATTAACAAAAGGAGCAATAATTTCTTCTCTATACCTTTGCGCAGTAAGAGTACCATTAAAAAAAATAGGTCCATAAATCCTCCTTCGATTGAGAGCACACCAAACTCCAATTTTTTGAGCGTGTAGAGGGCCCTCGACAAAAAAGTTATCTGGTTTTTCAGAAGACCACATTGTCATATTCTGTGAGTTTACGTAACCACTTAAATGAAACCAGGTGTCATCAGAAAAAAAGGTGATATTATGAAGTTCACCGTAGTTGTTTAAAAACCATTCACAAAATACAGCCCGTCGCGGAAAATCAACTTCATGAAGTTCTTGCTGACAAGTTAAACGATAGGAGAACAAACGCAAATCTTTTTTTAACACTGTGTGGCAGGTACCGACTGATACTCCCACCATTTGTGATAAAACACGTACAGAAGTTCTTGGTGCATTTTCCATTATTTGTTGGACATTTTCTTTTAATTCTTCAGTTCGCTTTTTAGGTCGGCCGCTTCCTTCTTTTCTTGTTACACTGCCCGTTTCACGAAAAACATTAACACAACGCTGAACTGCACTTTGAAAAATTTTGTACTCAACAACGCCGGGAAATTGATTTTGAAATTCTATGAAACATTCCTCAATAGAATACTTCCATATTCCATCAATCTTGCGTCCATTTCTAAAGTAGGACTCTATGATAAACACTTTTTGTTCTTGAGAAAACACCATTTTAAACGCTTTTTAAAACGAAAATATTCAAATTGATAGCGGCGATATAGCGCTTTGACAGATGACGTTTAAGTTCATTTGCTATACGCTACGGCCTACGTCCAAATTTTCAGAACCAACTTGACCACGTTTTTATTTGAACGCTCGTAATATAAAGTTTTGATCATGATATCTTATGATAAAAAATAATGGCAAGAATATAAAAAATCTGAAAAAAAAATCTTTAAAAAATAAGGTACTTGAGGCATATAAAGCCCACTTAATTTAAATAGGTATGCGGTAAATAGTATATTTTGTTGTTTAGAAAGAAAAAATCATGTTTTCTACAAAGTTAATTGGTTTAGTTATAATCCAGTAACAAAGATTTTTTTGCAGGAAAAAATGTAGAAGTTTTTTTCTCACCGGTTTTATATGTTTTATACGTACAATAACTCTAAAGTCTGGACAATCCACAACGTCATTATATCGCGTTGGAAAAAAAGGCATTTCTTGACTTTTTTAGCGGAATGTCAAGAAATGCCATTTCTTCAACACGATCTAACGACGTTATGGATTGGCCAAACTTCGGAGTTATTATAGATATTAGTAGGAAATTTTGTGTACTTTAATTTGGTATATCATAGTTATAATAAAAAAACGTTTAGTTTTCGAGTTATAGTTAAAAAACTGAAAAAAAATTAAGAAAATTTGAGGTTTTTTGCAATATTCTTTATGAAGCCGACGCCTAGCGTGGTGGCAAACCTCATACTCGGATTCAGCACCCCAAAAAACATATGGAATCGATGAGAAAAAACTTCTAAATTTTTTTCCTGAAAACGCAGTTTCTTGACCTTGGATGACTGAACTATTATCACAAAAGTTAAACGAATAGTACACGAGACAATCCTTTTAAAAACATTTGACTTTTTAAAAAACTCTTTCTCTGAACCTTATTAAACAACGTGGTATAATAAGGCCTCTTGTGAACTTGCAGTTTTTCGCAACTTATCTTCACAACGACAACTTAAAAACATCCTTAAATTAGAAAAAAATAAATATAAAACTTTTATTACACATTTCCCTTAATAATCAACATGTGCGTTGGGGAAGTAAAAAGGCTACTCAAAAAGTTTAGTTAAGTCCTCTCTAAAGCAAATTAGGTAAACCAAATTTCTCTTAAAAAAATAAAAACTTCTCTTTCGATAAAAAAAATAAATAAATGAGACTACTTCGACTAAAACGAAATCAAATTATTTTATTATACAATAACATGTACATGTCTGCCTCTGATCTGAAGTTCCGCGTCGATCAATTTACTCGATACGTATCTAGCGGTACCCTAATGCCTGCATTGCCTACTCTTTCGGTCGACATGCCGGTGAACAATACAGGTTTTTTGCTGAGAGACGTTAGCCGCGTATTTCATTGTCATTTGTGCGTGTAACGGTGAGTTTGACGCTTTGCTTGGTCGAGTGTACGGCACGTGTTTTTATGGGAGTCATTAGCATTGTATATTGTGAGCATAGAGCGGCACACAGCTTGACCACAGATTTAGGCTCTAGCTACATAAACGCGTATTTCCACTTACTAGCACAATGTAGATTACTACTGTTTATTTATTAATTTAATTTTAATTCCTAAATTTCAATTATTGATAAAATGGCGTTGACGTGGAATTTGGCAATTATTCCTGTTGTATACCATAATTTTGATCTACTAATATTAACAGGTAAGTTTTTTGACATTTCGATGATTTACGTCAATACCGACTATTAAATCTAGAAAGCTCAGGTGTTTTCCAAATGTTTTTCTTTCGAAACAAAAGACAATTGGACGTATGCCAGTGGAATTGATCACAGAACCGAAATATCAGTAGTTAATGAGTTACATGAACAAATAAAAACTAATTGGTTGTCTCGATTGTCCTGAATTCTGTTCCTTTCACAGTACTAAAAAATATTAACGATGTTGCAAAATTCTGTTGCGATTTTCCAACTTGAATAGTTTTGTTTTATTGTAACTGCACCTTTGTTATTCCCTGCAATTATCAACAGATGATTTGCTGGGATTTCTTCCGATAAATAAATTGTAGTTTAGCGAAATAGAAACCACGAGTGTAGTGACTAATAAAATTAATCAGTAACCCAGAAAATACGCAGGAATTATGCAAATTATATTATTCCAAATGCAGCTATCAAAACGATGAATAACCTTTACCAACGCATCCGCTAGTGCGTGATGCAAGATGTTTATAATTCAAGTTCATTATCGCAACCGTGACAGGTCCCGTTCTGCTTTCACGTCTTACTTTCATCGGACAAATCGAAGAAACACTCAATAGGAAGACAGTGTTTAAGCATTTCCTGTGTTTTATACGGGGTGTTCTGCGAGTAACTGTACATAGTTTGGTGGGAGCTAGAAGACGCGGAGCTAATTCTAGAACATCCCCCATATTATGTGCCTCTGAAGTCGTTTGTTACTTATACACAGGGTGTCCTAGAATAACGTGTACAACGGAAGACCACAGATTCGTGGACTCAAAATAGGCAGATCGCTTCGCTTGGCCGCTGAGTGGCCTCAAAGTTCGTGAAAATTTTTTGAATTTTATAAATAACTCAAATACGTATTATTCGACTTTGATTATTTTTGGGGTCTGGACTTTTGTTTTCAGTCTACACATTTTGGTGTTATACAGAGTGTTCTTTATAACTTACAACTCCTACAAAATTGAAATGTAGTAATAATATCCGTTCGTAACTTTTTAATAATGACAACTATTTTTATTTGATAGGTGATACCATTTGGAAGTTATTGGGCCTCTTGTATAATTAGTGCTAGTAGGCTCTGATTTTGTAATTTGACTGTAATTTC